AGCACTAAACGTGTCATTCCAGGCACTGCCACCTGGTGGCAGCAGAGCTACTCTTCGGCCCCTTATGGTGGGTGTCTAAAGGGCAGGGGTGAGACTCAAGCAAAGGGGTTAACAGGTACTTAATGCGGGAAAACAGGGCGTGGTGCGGCCGCCCTTAAACCCAGCACTTGGGAGGTTAAGTTCCAGGGCAGCCATGGCTGCGTGACACCCTGTCTCTCAATAGAAGGGTGCAGGGTTTAAAAGGACCAGGGAAAAAAAAAAGAACCCGGACTCCTCCCCTCACCTGTGGCTTCATTGTAGTACACAGAGATTCGGTCCAGCTGCAGGTCGCTGTCTCCGTGGTAGGTACCGGTGGGGTCGATGCCGTGTTCATCGCTGATCACCTCCCAGAACTACAGGGAAAGAGCAACGAGCCCTCAATGGCCGCGGAAGTCCTAAGGGACGCCTCCCCGCCCGCATTTCAATTCTAGACGCGCTCAAACGAGGCCGACGGGTTGACACTGCAGTCCCGTTATCTGCCTGCCGAGCCTCCCAGCCGGGAAGGGGAGGTCACACCTCTGTGGCTAGGGTGAGTGGTGGACAGTTCAAGGGGCTGAGGGTTGCAAGCCTCCATGCGGGCGGCCCGGAGTGCCATATCGCCCACTTGGCTCAGCACCCCAGCCTAGCGCCGCAGGGTGGGCACCGCCCCTCCAGGCCAGCACAATAGAGGGGTTGGGGTAAGAAGGTGCGGCCACTGCAGTCGCCCACCCCTTACGCGCTCCACGTGACTGCAGTGGCGGGCCGCTCTTCCAGCAGCCCACAAAGGCGGGAGCGGCGTGGGCGGGGCCTGGCACGAGGGGCGGGGCCAGCGGGCCCCCGCCGGCTAGGGCTGCATTGTCCCTGCGCGCCAGGGGCGCTAGCCCCGCCCACCCGCAGGGTCCCACCCTTCGGCTACAATTTAGCGGCCGCACTTCCTCCTCTCCACCCATCCCCCGCTACATTGTAATTGCGCGCAAAAAGAAAAAAAAAGAAGAAAACCACGGCCTGGGATTATTTTTTGCTTTGCTAGCTTCTCTCCCCTAAATAGTTTCCACCCCCCAAAAGCACACACATAGTCCTGAGAAGCCTCTTTTAGCCACACAAGCCTCTCACTTTCCCATCAGGTCACACCCTAGGATCTCTTAAAGGCAATGAAGATGTAGCCCCCTGCGACGGAACCATCACCATCTCTCGAAGAGCTAAAGCATGCCTGGGGATGGCGAGTGTGCGAGGGTCTCCAGGCCTTTGTTGAGAGAGGTAGCGCGCACCGGAGCACGGTCGCAGAGACCCCTGCAGCTTGCCCGCCCAACCTCTCCCCTTCCCCCGCCGGTCCTGCTCCACACCAAGGCCCTCCAGGCGGGGTGGGGGTGGCGCAAGGGGAAACCCTCGCTCCGGCTTTGTCTCGGATCGTTTCCGCATGTCTCCTCTCCCGTTCACGAACCGTTAGAAAAACCCCTCTTTTAAAATAAGCACTTTAAAGCTCCTGAGATTCTCCGTCTCCTAAACCCCAAAAGTCTCTTTTTAATGGCTTTCCGAAAATGTTTCAAAGGAAATATTTCTCAATATCAGAACGCTAGCTACAAATATGGGCTGTAATTGTACGTGCGAAACTTTGAGGGGCCAAAGCCGGAGGATGAAGATTGCCAACACACCCGGTAACATTACCCATGATTAACCTGGATTTTTTTCAACCTCACATACATCCGGTAAAATTTAAAAATTCTTACCTTAGCACCGATTTGGTTGCCACATTGTCCGGCCTGGATGTGCACGATTTCCCTCATGGCTAAGGTTTACTGTAATTTGTGCTGGCTTCAAGGTAGGTGCCGAGCAAGAAAAGATAATTGTTTTTTTTTTCCCCCTTGGCTGGTCTCAGGCTGAAGGGATGGAACGTGGCCCCGGAGGCTGCAGCAGCGAGATGCGAGCACGACCGCAGGAAGGTTCTAAGAGGCAGAAGAGGCCGGCGAGCGCAGGAGGGAAGGCGCGCAGGGCGGGGCGCGCGTTCGCGCGGCCGGGGGCGGGAGATAGGCGGGAGCCCCTGGTCGCAGACAAAGCCTCTCCAGGCTGCCGCTGATTAGACCCGCCGATCACGTGCCAGGCGACCATTGGTCTATGAGCCAGTGGCGAGCGCAGTCCTTTTTGGGAGTTGTAGTTCTCTATTGTTGTCCACGCTGCAAAATGAAGTTAGGCATGGGTGGATACTGTAGGAGGTTTAGTGGGTACCTTTCGTGTGGGTGTGACTGCATTTGTTTTTTAATGGAAAGTGACCTCGCACGAGATTCCTGTCCTCCGTTCCTGAGAGAGGCTTTTGTGCTATAAGAAGTTTGGGGAAATATCGTAATTGGGAGGTCTGAGGTGCCCTGAATTGGGAGGTGGTTTGGGCACGCCCTGCATGCTGCCCACCGCAGTAGCTCTGGTGAAGGCGGACTGCATAGCTCAGCGAAAAGTCCCGAGAAATGTGGCAACCTGCCCTGATACGTACTATCTAGTGCTTTATGGTCCCAAGACAGGAACTTCAGTGAGCACCACTCCCTCGCATCCCTCCAGAAGAAAGGATTGCCCTCGGGTTCTTCAGGGAGTTGTCCCAAGGATGTTTCGAAAGAGAAACAAAATTGCAAGGACTTTTCAGACTAGAAATGTTGTTTGGGACGGATGTTCAGACGGAGAGAAGCTGTAAATCTCCACGGCGGCGGTGGGGTGGGGTCGGGCCTTTAGGACCATGCTGAAGGCATCCTGTCAATACAGACGGTGAAATGGGATGCCTCTTAGACACTTGGGTGAAGCCAAATGGTCGTTTTTCAGTTGGTTGGTTCTATTCATTAGGTGAGGCTGGAGCAGAGTCCAGGAACTGTGGAAGAAGGGAGTCAGAGCCCATAACCTTTTCCCCAGGGTTTCGTTTGATAGAAACTAAGTACCCTAAAAAGTGTAGAAGGGATATACAAAATGATTACTTAGAGTCAGTCAGCAGGGGTGGTTCACACGGTTAACACCTGCATTGTAACTCTCGAAGGCAGGAGGATCTCAGGGACTACAAGGTCAACCTGGGCTACTTAACAGAGTTCCTGTACAGCCCGAGGTACAGCTTTAGACCCAGTCTCAAAATAAATAAATACACGAAAAATTAGCTTGTGCCCAACCTACCAAACAGAAGGATGGTTGAGGCATAAGTGTTCTTGTACGCTGAAGGCTAACCTGCTCTACAAAGTGAGAGCCTGTCTGGAAAACAAAACTTACAAGGGGCTGGAGAGATGACTCAGAAATTAAGAGCATTTGTCCTTCTCGAAAAAGACCCAGGTTCAATTCCCATTACCCGCATAGAGGCTTTCAACCCCGGGAACCCAATACCCCCTTCTGTCCTCTGCAGGCTTGTGGCGAGCAAAGACAGACATCCAGGCAAAATGCTAACACACACATGAGTAAAAAACCTCCTTAAGAAAGAGAAAACAGAGCCGGGCGTTGGTGGCGCACGCCTTTAATCCCAGCACTCAGTTCGAGGCCAGCCTGGTCTACAGAGTGAGTTCCAGGACAGCCTCCAAAGCCACAGAGAAACCCTGTCTCGAAAGAAAGAAAGAAAGAAAGAAAGAAAGAAAGAAAGAAAGAAAGAAAGAAAGAAAGGAAGGAAGGAAGGAAGGAAGGAAGGAAGGAAGAAAGGAAGGAAGAAAGAAAGAAAGAAAGAAAACAAAGGAGTGTGGTAAGCAGTATCAGGAATGAGGTCACGAAGGAGGACAGTTGTGGACAGATGGACAGGCAGGAGGATCAATGAGTTCAATGCTAAGCCGCTCTAGGCCAGCCAGAGGGACATAGTGGGACCCCCCCCCCTTTGTCAGAAAGAAAATGTATCAAACACATTGCTGACGTCCGGTCAATATACGGTTCAAGTTGTCTTTTAAATAAAAGGACATCAGATAGCATCAGTACTCCTTTATTCATTAAAAAAACACAATGTTTTCATTTGGGTCGTGCTAATCACTAAAGATAGATTACTTCTGTGACTCGGGTTTGTCGCATTAACAGTAGGAACGTGGGGAGTGGAAGGAAACCAACTTAAGAAGCTTCAAAAAAAAAAGTGTGCCGATTCCTTTACTGTAACCAATAAAAAAAGAACCCAAAACTATCCAAGCCAATTTCCTTGCTATGCTTTTCGTGTCTTAGGATGGTAACGGAATGAAGTTACTTCCTATCATTCTCGTCCTTTGAAAAGAGGACAGATCCTGAGGTTTTAGCAAAGTAGCTTGCCCGCCCATGTTTGTTTTACTAAGGGTCTTCCATCGAGGGCTTAGGTGACCTCAAAATGTCCGTCACTTTATACGCATATCTATATCTTCCTTACTAAGCTTTCCAAACGGAGAGGAAGCGAAAAGTCCTCTGCAATGGGGCTGTTCCAAAGCGCCACGCCTACGGGGCACATTTCCAATCCGCCCGCAGCCTGCAGAAGCCACGACTGCTGCAGCCGGCGAACCCTTTCGTCTCCCCGTGAGCCGGGCAGCGCCATTTCTGGGACGACCGAGAAGGGCGCTCTGGCCTCGGAACGACATCTATGGTACGCGGGGGCGGGGGGAGTGGAGGGAGGGCGGCCCTTCTACCCGCCGTCGGCCACTGGCGCGAGACTCTGTGGTCGGGGCCGCCTTTGGAACTCTGCGCGGGAAGTGTGCGGCGGCGGAGGAGACGTAGCGGCGGTGGATGGGTGGGTCCCAGGGCGCTAGCCAATCACGGCGCCGGCTGCTCATGCCACACCCCCCACCATCCCCCGCCTGTTACCCAGCGCTGCCGAGGGGTGGGGGCTGGTTTCCCGCCTCCGGCCACACTTTTGAGCTGTGCGGGGGTGGGGTGGAGGCTGGGGGCGGGGCTTCCGACGTATGGAGGGGGAGGATCCGAACCAATCGGCGCGCTCCCCTCCTGTAAGCGACAGCTCCAGTAGCCAATCAGTCAACAGAGCCTCTTCCGGGCTTCGCATTTCCCGCCAGTCCTTCGGCGGCGGCCGTTGCTTGGCGGGCCGTCGTGCGCACGCGCGCCCAAGGCGGGCGCGGGGCGTTTGGTCGGGAGGTGCGTTCGGGTCCGCCCGCGCCCTGTGGCAGGCAGGAGGGGGGCGTGCCCCTTACGTGTCCCTCCTTCCCCCCCTTCCTCGGGCGGAGGTAAATTTGGGTTATGGCCCCCGGGGGGTGACGGTTTGGGGACGCGGAACCTTTCTAGGCCCACGAGGCCGGCTCGGTCCAAGACGGCGGCGCCTCAGCCGGGGCCAGGGTTCGTAGGCGTCGGCTGGGGTTGACAGGACGGAGGAGCGTGCCGCCTGGGGTGCGCCCTGTTCCCTGTCGGCGCTTTTCTCCCCCCCCGGTGTGTGGCATCCTCCTAGGTAAAAATCCTCCCCCGTGCAGTTGTTTTTTGGGTCTCGGCCTTCAGTTTCGTTCCCTTCGTCGGGAGCCCTGGCGACGCGGCCTCCCCCGCGAGAGCGGGATTTTGTTTCGGTCGAGGTTGGGCTGGGGGGGAGGTGGGGGAGCCGACGTCCGCGAGAGATGCCAGGTGCGCCTGGTCACTGTCAACCCAGGGGGGGACGCGGGCCCCGCATCCGCAGGCGACAAGAAGCGGCTTGCCGAGGAGTTAACGTCAGGGGCGACCGTAGTCAGGTCCCTCGACACCCCATCTGGGTTGTAGTTTCTTCACCTAAAAAGAAAAAAGAAAGGAATGGTTGTACCTGCAGGGTTCTTCGGCAGGATACATGAGTTAGTCAAAGTATTACAAAAAATGAGTTTGTAAGCCGGGCGTTGGCGGACGGCGCTCGCCTTCAGTCCCAGCGCTCCTGGAGGCAGAGGCAGGCGGGATCTCTTGTGAGTTGGAGGCCAGCCTGGTCTACATGAGCGAGCTCTAGGACAGGAGCCAGGGGCTACCCACAGAGAAACCCCTGTCTCCAGACAACAACAAAGGCCCCGAGTTTGATGATCCTCAGTAGCTCTCTGGGATCTGCGTGTCGGTTAGAGGGTTAGGATGAAGTAAGACTGGAAGACAGTTATGTTTCATGTAGCGATTTCTCAGCAAAGGTGTCAGGTCCTCGGGAACTGGGAGTTGTGAGCCGGTTGCGGGTCCTGGGAACCGAACCAAGGTCCTCTCGAAGAGCATGCGGTGCTCTTAACCACTGTGCCATCCCTTCAACCACTAAACTTGATTTTTCTTTTCTTTTTTTTTTTTTTATAAAGGTACTAATATGTTGTCCCATCTTATCTGGAACTCCGGGACACAAGTAATTGCACTGCCCCAGCTTCCTCAGTAGCTGGAACTGTGGACAAAGAACGCCACCTCCGTCCAGTTTATCATGCTTTTATGTGCTTTAAATGGAAGTACCCATTTTGGGGCTGGAGATACAGCTCAGTGGTACAGCATCTGCCAGGTGTGAGGCCGTAGGTTTAGTTTGCAGTACCTAAAATCCCATATAACATCCCTTTGAATATAATGGTATACTTGGACCTTAACTCTTTGTCATGGCCAAAAGTATAAATATGCACATACATTTTTTTTTGGTTTGTTTTGGGGAGCAAGGTCTTACTGTAACCAATCGAGGCTGGTTTACACACACACACACACACACACCTTTTTTTTTTTATGGAAATAGGGCCTGACTATGGCTCTGACTGACTTGGAACAGACTACATACAGCAGACTGGCCTTGAACTCAAAGAGTTTTGAGTACCTCTGCCTCCCAAGTGCTATAATCAAAGGCTTGTATATCCCAAGTACTGGGGTTATAGATACATGCCAACAATTTTTTTTTTTTTTTTGGTTTTTCAAGACAGGGTTTCTCTGTGGCTTTGGAGGCCGTCCTGGAACTCATTTTGTAGACCAGGCTAGCCTCGAACTCACAGAGATCCGCCTGCCTCTGCCTCCCGAGTGCTGGGATTAAAGGTGTGCACCACCAACGCCCGGCCCATGCCAACAATTTTTAATCAAAAAACTTGTTTTGCTTTTAGACAGGGTTTCTCTGTGTAGCCCTGGCTGTCCTGGAACCCACTATGTAGACAATACTGACCTTGAACTCAAAGATCCACCTGTCTCTGCCTCCCAAGTGCTGGTGTTAAAGGTGTATGTCACCAATGCCTGGCCCAAAATAAGTAGTTGTTTTTTTCCCATTGATAGTACTAAGTGTTGAACATATGGCCTCACACAGGCTAGCCAAACGTTCTACCACTGGCATTCTTACTATCCATGCTCCACTCCCAATATGTTTGCATGCTTCAGAATGACAGAAAAGCATCACCTCATGGGGACACAAGCCTTTAATCCCAGCACTCAAGAGGCAGAGGCAGGTGAATCTCTTGAGTTCGAGGCCAGCGTGGTCTCCAGAGATAGTTCCAGGACAGCCTCCAAAGCTACAGAGAATCCCTGTCTGTGAAAAAAAAAAGAGGAAGAAAGAAAAGCATCACCCCCACATTAGTCCACATTCCTCCAGGTTTATCTCCAGTTATTTTTTTTCTTTACAAGTGTGTATAAACCAATGACAAGAACAATGATAATGTGTTTCCTTTGCAGATCATGGAAAACACCCAGGTTATTAACTGGGATGCCGAAGAGGAGGAGGTCACAGAAATACCCAGTGGGTCCCTGGGGTATAGCTTGGAGCCTATAGGGCGGCTACGACTCTTCAGTAGCACTCACGGACCAGAAAGAGGTCAGGAGATGCTGGGAGCTGGATGAGTGTGGGCCCTGTCTCTTCCTTAGAGGCAGCTGGATTGTTGGCAGAGCCTCATGTGTGTTTCTAAGGGGACATGAAGAATTGCTGTACTAGGGATGGCAGAGAGGCCACCGAGTTGACTGTTTCAGCTGCTGCCCTGTACTTACTGGGAGTGATTTTCTTTTGTTAGGAGAAACTGAAGAGCTTCAAATAAAAATGGAATGAGGGAGCTAGAGAGATGGTTCAGGGATTAAGAGTGCTTACTGCGCCAGGTGTTGGTGGCCACCTAGCACTAGGGAGGCAGAGGCAGGTGGATCTCTGTGAGTTCGAGGCCAGCCTGGTCTACAGAGCGAGTTTCAGGACAGCCTCCAAAACAATACAGAGAAACCCTGTCTCAAAAAACCAAAAAAAAAAAAAAAGAGAGTGCTTACTACTCTGGAAGAGGACCTGGGTTAGGTTCGCAGCACCCACATGGTGGTCAAAACCACCTGTAGCTCTGGTTCCAGGGGACCTGATGCTCTCTTCTGCCCTCGGGCACCTGCACACATCGGGTAGACATAAACTCATGCAGGTGCACACATTCCCATAAATAAAGAGTAAGAATATTATTCCCCCTGAGACATGGTTTCTCTGCGTAGCCCAGACTGTCCTAGAACTCAGAGATGTCGGCCTGCCACTGCCTCCTCCTTAGTGCTGGTATTAAAGGTGTGTGCCATCACTAATGGGCATAGAATTTTTATAAAGTTAAAATACACGTGGCCTAGAAATGGATATGTAACACAACTGAGCAGTATACGTAACTGGTTGAGATGGTTGGATTTGTATTGTGTGTATTTTTTGTTTTATTTTTGTTTTTCCTTTGAGACAGAGTCTCTCTATATAGTCCTTGCTGCCCTGGAACTCACTATGCAGACTGGCCTCAAACTCACAGAAACCTACCAGCCTCTGCCTTTCAAATGCTAGAACTAAAGGCATGTGCTCATATGCCCAGCCTGTATTGTGTGTTACAACAAAAAATACTCTTTGGGCATGGTAGTTCATGTCTGTAAGCAGATGGTGAGTCTAGGTTGAGGCCACATAGCAAGTTTGAAAACAATCTGGGCTACATAGTGAGACCCTGCATCAAAAACAAAGCAAGGGCCGGGCGTTGGTGGCACATGCCTTTAATCCCAGCACTTGGGAGGCAGAGGCAGGCGGATCTCTGTGAGTTCGAGACCAGCCTGGTCTACCGAGTAAGTTCCAGGACAGTGTCCAAAACAATACAGAGAAACCCTGTCTCGGGAAAAAAAAAACAAAAAACAAAAAAAACAAAGCAAGGGCAGTAGCTCGGGGAGAGTGCTTAGCTAGCATGTATGAAACTCTGTTTTCAGATCTATTGGGAAAACAAGAACAACGTGAATAGATAAAATATTGCAGCTGAGTGATGTGTTATAAATGGAGTGATGTGTTGTAAATGCTATTGTATGCTGACACACCGGTTGTTTTTAATCCTATTGAGTGAATAGGAGGTTCTGTCTTCAGGCCAGGAATCTGCCCTTATTCTTTTGTTTGTTTGTTTGTTTTTTGTTTTTCGAGACAGAGTTTCTCTGTATTGTTTTGGAGGCTGTCCTGGAACTCGCTCTGTAGACCAGACTCACAGAGATCCACCTGCCTCTGCCACCGAGTGCTGGGATTAAAGGCATGTGCCTCCACCGCCCAGCCTGCCCTTAACTCTTTACTGTTTCTTCTTGATCCATAGATTTCCCTCTCTACCTGGGCAAGAATGTGATTGGCCGAAGCCCTGACTGCTCTGTGGCCCTGCCTTTCCCATCCATCTCTAAACAGCATGCAGTGATTGAGATCTCTGCTTGCAACAAAGCCCCTGTCCTCCAGGATTGTGGGAGCCTCAATGGCACTCAACTGGTAAAGCCCCCTAAGGTCCTACCCCCTGGAGTGAGCCATCGTCTGAGGGACCAGGAGTTAATTCTGTTTGCAGACTTCCCCTGCCAGTACCATCGCTTGGATGTCCCTCCTCCTTTGGTCTCTCGGGGACTTCTAACTGTAGAGAAGACCCCCAGAGTACAGGGAGGATCCCAAGCCTCCAGAGTTTTGTTGGCTGAGGACTCGGAGGAAGAAGTGGGTAAGTTTGTGCCTTGGGTGTGTGTGTGTGAAGAGACAGGGATGAGGATGTAAACTGTCAACTTATTTCTTCCTGTTCTTGCCAGATTTTCCTTCTGGAAGGTATATGGCAAATGGATCAAGGAATCCAACGTCTCCTTCAGCAACAGTAGTTCCAGAAAGGTGAGTACCAAAGTACCAGATGCCTGAATCTTTTGTTTGGTTTCTGTTTTTTTCAGAGTCTGTAGCCCAAGCTGGATTAGACTCTGGGTTCAGTCTCAGTGTTGGGATGGCAGGTTGAGCTTCCTCACCTGAGCCTTTGAATAAGGAATCAGTCTTGAAAAGATGAGGTGGCGCCAATAGCCCAGGCATAATTATTTCCTCAGCTGAATTAACTTAGGATGAGTACTCGTGATGCACTCAGTGGGGACGGGAAGGCAGCTGGCAGCAGTGCCTGCTCGCTCTCAGGGCCTGTCCAGGAAGGACATGCTGTGGCTCTCTGTCTTTGCAGTGATGAAGAGGGGTCTTCTCCAGCCCCAAGTGTCCCTGGGCCTTCTCTGCCCTTTGACTTGGGCAGTGACACAGATGAAGAGCCGGGTCAGCATCTGGCAGCAGGGGAGTCCTCTTCAGCTGCCAGGGACGGTGCCGCTGCAGAGGCCGTGGAAGCTAATGGAGTGACAGCTGGCATCCAGCTGGCACTGGCTCAGCCTGCTGAGCAAAAGCTCAGGGACACGGAAGTCAAGAGTGAGGCAGGCGATGGAGCGACTCTGGAGAGGGGCCCCACTGGGGGTGAGGACAGTGACACAGACGTGGAGGAGGGCAAGACTCCACGGGCTGTCCCTCCAGAGAGAAACCACACACCCATGGTGATCAACAGCGATACAGATGAGGAGGATGAAGTCTCAGCAGCAGTCACCTTGGCCCATCTGAAGGAGAGGGGGATCACTTTGTGGAGCAGAGACCCAGGCGTGGAAGAGGTCAAGTCCCAACCACAGATCCTTGTAGAACGAAGTCAGAGCGCCTCTGGGAAAGACAGTGACACAGACGTGGAGGAGGAAAAGAGAGAAGTGGTCCCTGACAGCCCCATGGACATAGATGAGGCCCTTCTTGTCACACATTCAGAGAGCCAGCCTCCCCATAGACCCAGTGAGGATGTGGATAAGGATGTGGATATATGCCCCCCTGGGGGCCTTCTAGAGGGAGACCAAGCCTCCTCTGCCACAGGAGACAGTGGTGCACAGGTGAAGGAGGAAGTCCCTCCAGAGCCAGCTGTTACCCTGGGGGAAACATACCAGTTGCCTCTAGAGGAAGCCCAGCCTCCTGAGGAGGCCTGGGAAACAGCTGGGGAGGAAGGCTCATCTTCAGCGGTGGCAGATGTAAGGCAGAGCAGGCAGCCAGGAGCAGAAAATGCTGGGACAGAGTGGGCTGCAACTGCTTGTAAACAGGAGAGCACTCTTGAGATGGGGGTCCAAGGCAAGTCACCTGCTGCACCCGTGGAGCCATTGGTGGTGTCTACAGCTACTCCAGGGGATCCCACCCAGCCACAGAAAAAGGGAGCCCAGACCCCCACAGGGAAGGAGAGAGGAGCACAAATGGGCAGGACCAAGAATGCCAAAGACTGCCGTGATGGTAAGTGCTGCCCTCTGCTCTGCCCTTGACCCTTGAAGTAAACTGGGTGTAAGGGTTAGGAGAGAACTGTAGAAGTCCGAGGGTGAGGTGATAGTTTGTCTGTCTCTTATCTCTTCCCACCAGAATCTGAAGATCTGTGCCTTCCGGCTACCCAGTGCTTTGTAAAAACGGAGGACCAGAACTCAGAAGGTGAGGACATTGTATTGTTTGGATCTGAGGGCCAGTAAGAGCCGGGGGATTAGACTGGTGGCCCTAGAAAGATGGTGTGGCCAAGATGGGGAGTGTGTTCTAGCCCTGTTTTCTTCTTCAGCTGTCCAGAGTTTGGAAGATGAAGCTACCCAAGTCTTCCCGTGTACTCTTCCCCAAGAGCCTGGACCTTCCTATCTTAGCTTTCAGACTCCAGGTACAAAAAAGTCTCTGAGCCCTCAACTTTGCAGCTTTCCTTGTTTTCTTCCTCTACATCCTTTAATATTGTGTCTTATTTTAGATTTATCTGTTTTATGTGCATGAATGTTTTGTCTGTGTGCCTGGTGCCCACAGAGATCAGGACAGGATGTCTTATCCGCTGAAACTGGAGTTAAGAACTGCTGTGAGCCACATGTGGGTTCTCAGAGCTGAACCCAGGTCCTCTGTGGGAACAGTCAGTGCTGCTGACTGCTGGGCATCTCCAGCCCCTCATACTCTTGTTGTGTGGAGACAAGGAGCTCATGTAGCTGTGGATGACTTGGACTTGTGGGTCTTCAAGTGCTGGGCATCAGGAAAAGAAATCCATTCCAGACATGGTGACACACTTGGGAGACAGAGGCAGGAGCTCAGGGCCAGCCTGGACTATATGAGACCTTGTCTCAAAAAACCAAGATGGAGGCCGGGCATGGTGGCGCACGCCTTTAATCCCAGCACTCAGGAGGCAGAGGCAGGAGGATCTCTGTGAGTTTGAGACCAGCCTGGTCTACAAGAGCTTGTTCTGGGACAGCCTCCAAAACAATACAGAGAAAACCTGTATCAAAACAAACAAACAAAAAGCCCAAGATGGAGCTGGTTAATTCCAGCTTTTGGGAGGCAGAGGCAGGTGGATCTCTGAATTCAAGCCCAGCCTGGTCTACAGAGCTAGTTCTTGGATAGACAGGGCTACACAGAGAAAACCTGTGGGGAGGGAGGTGGGGGTGGGGTGGGGATGGGCTAGAGAACTGGCTGAATGGTTTTGAATGGCGACTGTTCTAGAGGACCAGGGTTCATCTGTGTCAGGCAGCTGACAACCAGTTTCTGGAAATCCAAGACCCTCTCAGATATCCGTGGGCACCCCAACACACATACGCACATACATGTGAAAAAATTTTTCTAAATACATCTTAAAAAATAGGATACCAAATCAAAGCATATTGCTGACCCAAAAACTCAATTTTTTTTCTCTGCATGCTCTAGGTGAACTCAGGGCTTTATGCATGCCAGGTGAATACTTTCCTCAGCCATATACCCAGTCCTTATTTTTCAGATGAGAGATTATAATCTTCTAAATAGCATTCAGTGTCATAGCTACCACCCTTATTTCCAGCTTGCCTTTAGTTAACCCATTTAGCCATTGTGAGTTTGCCCTTTTTTACCTGCGTGCCTGTCTCCTTTTTCTGATCCTCTTTAGGTCCAGGTGCCCTGGATGTGCCTTGGGAAGTCTTGGCTACACAGCCGTTTTGTCTGAGAGAACCTGAGACCTCTGAACCCCAGCTCATGGACACCCACCTTGAAGCTCATGGGTCTCATCCACCTCTGCCTCGTGCGTCAGCAGGACAGCAGCATCTGCTCCACACAGAGCCGTTGGGAACTGAAGACAGAGAGATGCAAACTGTGGAGAAAGCAATGGGTATACCAAAGGACACAGCAGACAGGGTGGCCCCTGAGCGAGCCATTGGAAAGGAAAATCAGGGAAAGGGCAGCAAACAGTGAGAGAAAAGACGTGATGGGTGAAGAAGAACTAACTCAGGGGTGGAGGACAGAGGACCAAGGAAGGTGCTAGCTAGCGTGGTGAAGGGTGGGGACCCTGAAGGGGATAAGGAGAGCATGAAGGTAGAAATGGAAACATTCAAAGACACACAGAAGAGAGAAGCAGAGAAGCAGAAGTGACCCTGGATAGAGGGGTGACGGAGGGAGCCCTGGGTTTGGCGTGGGGGACCTTGAGGGACTTGCATCAGCCCTGATAGTCTCTGGGAGTCAGGGAGATGGAGGAAAGGGGCACCTGTGAGTCCCAGGGGGCAGCAGAGAGGGAAGCGATGGCATATGCTATGTAATCTCATGACAGCTAGTCCCTGAGCCACTCCTGTTTTACCTTCTGACTAGGCCACTTGAGTTGCAAGATGAAACCTGCTGGAGAGGCTTCCAGGGTGAGCTGCGTTTTTGTCCTGCTCCTACTTCACAGGTTGTCCCCATCCCTGCGCCGCATTGCCCAGCCTGCCTTTCATCTGTATCTTTGTTTATGATTGCTGATTTCCTAACTGCATGCACATCTGTGCGTGTTGTGAGAGTGTGTTTGGGAGAAGTGCCTGAGTAAGCCAAGTGACAAGCTGTGTGTCATTCTTCAGGAACCACCCAACTTTTTGAAAGGGTGGGGGTCAGGATCCTGACTTAGAATGTACTGAAATAGACTGGGATGCTTGACCAGCAAGCTCTGAGGACTGTCGTATCTGTCTACCTGCCTAGCACTGAGGTAACAAGCTTCTGTCACTCTGCTTGGCTTTTTTACATGGGTTCTGGAGCAAATTCAGTTGCCAGTTGTTGGCTTTGCCTAATGAACTATCTCCCTAGTCCCATGTCCTCAGTTTTCTTCAATGTTACTTGGCGTCTGTCTGTTCTGTGTCCTGCCACCCATTGTTCCCTTTATTGACTCACAAGTCTCTTTGTGCTACTGCCCTATTTGCCCAGCCATGTCTTAGTTGCAGTGTACACCTACCCGTACAGAAGTTATGAAGAGAGATCCCTTATGGTATCCAGAAGATTGCTTCCTCTCTCAAGGAGTTCCTAGCCTAAAGAGAGGTCACAGAAAGAAGTGCCAGTGAGCATGCCGTGACCATAAACAGAATCAAAGCCAGACATACTCACCGAACGGGCCTGTCACCCCAGCACTTGGCAATAGGGGTAGAAGAATAAGTGGGGGACACGGTAGTCACATGAGGCCCTTCTTCAGAAACACTGGGAAAGATCAAGATCCATGCACACCTCTTTTTTTTCCTAGTAATTTATTTTATGTTCATTGGTTTTTTGCTTGCATGTATGTCTGTGTGAGAGTATCAGATCCCCTGGAACTGGAGTTACAGAAAGTTGTGAGCTACCATGTGGGTGCTAGGAATTGAACCCAGGTCCTCAGGAAGAGCAGCCAGTGCTCTTAACTTCTGAGTCATCTCTCCAGCCCGGCCCACCTCCTTCTTGCTGCCTTTTATCACTTGTCTCTCCTCCTCAGGGTGATCCAGAACTCTCCGGCCATCACCTGCTTTCTCCAGTTCCTGAAGCTTCTTCTCCACCTCAGAGTCTGCTCACCTCTCAGAGCCAAAAGCAGTCTACACCGCAGCCTCTGTTGTTGACCTCTTCCCCTTCTGAGCTACACCTTCCTGAGACTTTTCACACAAAGCCTCATGTCAGGCCTCGCCGGTCCTCCAGGATGACCCCCTCCCCACACTCCTCTGCTGCCCTTAAGCCCTATACTACCTGCCCCACAAACCTGCCCGCTGCCCCTAGACCAACATCTCGGGCCACTCGGGGCAGGGCAAATAGGTCCTCTACCAGGACTCCGGAACTGGTTGTCCCTACAGACTCTGAGCTCCAGCCTCCCGCCTCCACAGAACAGCCTGTCATCCCCAAACCTACATCTCCAGTCATTCAGGGCAGCACAAATGGTTCCTTTGTTAAAACACACGAACCAGTTGTCCTCACAGGTCCCGAAATCCAGCCTCCCGCCTCTACAGAACAGCCTGTTACCCCAAACCCCACACCTCAGGCCACTCGGGGCAGGCCACGCAGGTCTTCTGTCAAGACCCCAGAACCACTTACTCCCATTGGTCCTGACCTCCAGCCTCCTGCCTCCACAGAACAGCCTGTCATACCAAAACCCACATCTCAGGCCACTCGGGGCAGGCCATGCAGGTCTTCTGTCAAGACCCCAGAACCACTTACTCCCATTGGTCCTGACCTCCAGCCTCCCGCCTCCACAGAACAGCCTGTCATACCAAAACCCACATCTAGGGTCACTCGGGGCAGGCCACGTAAGTCTTCTACCAGGACCCCAGAACCAGTTGTCCCCACTGGTCCTGACCTCCAGCCTTCTGCCTCCACAGAACAGCCTGGTACCCCTAACCCCACATCTAGGGTCACTCGGGGCAGGTCACGTAAGTGTGTCAGGACCCCAGAACCAGTTGTCCCCACTGGTCCTGACCTCCAGCCTCCCACCTCTGAGCCCTCATCTCAGGACAGGACACATAGGTCTTCTGTCAGAACTCCTGAAACAAGCATCCCCACGGCCCCTGAACGGCAGCCTTTCACATCAAGAGAGCATCCTGCCCCCAAGCCCACAACTCTGGGCACTTCGGGAAGGACATGGAAGTCCTCCATTGAGGATTCTGAATCAGTTGGACCAGTAGCCCCTGATTTTGAGCCTCCCATCTCCACAGACCTTGTTGCCTCTGAGGTGACAAGTCAGAGCATAACACTAAAGTCTTCACCACTAAGTGCTTCTCCAGTTTCTGCCACCTCTGAACTCCAGCCTCCTGTCCCCACAGCCCAGCCTGTTCCCCTGGAGCCCATTCCTCAAGCCAGTCACCGAAGGAGGCGGAAGGCTGCTGGGAAACAAGGCTCCCACACAGTTCCCATTGACCACAAGCCTTACTCTGCACCCTCTGAACCTGAGTCCCAATCTTCAGCCAATCAAGCCTCAGCATTAGAAACAGATGAGTCTATTGCTCCTGAGCCTGCCATTCCCCAGGTTCCAGAGACCCTCACTCACATCCCCCCAGTTCAAAATGAAGCAGCTGGAAGATCAGGGCTCATTCCCAAGCCCCAGCCTGAGGCTTCTCGAGCCCGCAAGAAGCCTTCTGCTACCACAACCTCACCACTTCAAAAACGTCCCCGAAGACAAGTTCCCCAGAAGACCATAGTACCCAAGGAAGAAGACCCTGCAGAAATGCCAGTGAAGGAAGAGGTAAGAGGGCAGACAGCTGGGGCCCCTAGCTAGGAGCAAGAGCCATAGGACTCAAACACCCAATGAGATGTTTTTCAGCCTCAGGAGATAGCAATTCCAACACCAGGCAAAAGAAAGAGGGATCGCCGTGCAGAAGATGAGACCCAGGGAAACCCAAGTCGAAGCCGACGGGCTAAACCTAACCAAGAAACAGTAGCCCCCAAGGTAGGGAAGCAGGGGGCTGGGGACTGAGAGATGAGTGCTGCTGATGTGGGCTGCTGTGACTGTCCTCACTCCATCCCCCAGGTGCTGTTCACAGGAGTCGTGGATTCTCGTGGAGAGCGTGCAGTCCTGGCTCTGGGAGGCAGTCTAGCCAGCTCAGTAAATGAGGCCTCTCACTTGGTCACTGATCGAATCCGCAGGACAGTCAAGTTCTTGTGTGCCCTGGGGAAGGGGATCCCTATCCTCTCCCTGAACTGGCTGTATCAGGTAAGAAGCCAGAAGATGATCAATGGCCTGTTCACCTGCCCTCCAAGGAAGCAGTGAGAGGAAAGGAGATGGAGAATGGACCATTAGTGAGGCCGAGACTGCTTTGAAAAGATATTTATTGTAAGGGCTTGGATAACTCAGTGGTAGAGCACTTCCTTACATGCTTGATGTCTTGGGGTCAGTCCTCAACACTGGGGAGGAAAGGAAGACACGCTGAGTTCTCTTCAGATGAAAAAGTGTTCCTGTTCTTTCCCTTAGTCCAGAAAGGCTGGTCACTTCCTGCCACCTGACGACTACATGGTGACTGATCCTGAACAAGAAAAGAATTTTAGCTTCAGCCTTCGGGATTCCCTGAGCCGGGCTCGGCAACAAAAACTGCTGGAGGTGAGAGGCTGCCTTCTGAACCATGCTTCGGCACTGCCCCTTGCGCCCCCAAGAGGTTCCCAATCGCCTTAGCCCCTCATTGCAGACATCTGTCTCCACCACTCCTCTTCCTTAGGGCTATGAGATTCATGTGACCCCTGGAGTGCAGCCACCCCCACCTCAGATGGGCGAAATCATCAGCTGCTGTGGGGGCACAATCCTGCCCAGCATGCCCCATTCCTATAAGGTATGACAGGCGTGTCCTGAGCCTGAGGGGGCCACTAGGGAGGCAGTGGGAATGAGAACAGGGTGGAGGGAAAGGGTAAGAAGAATAAGGGAAAAGAGGTGCTGGCACCAGAAGGCTTAGTTTCAATATTTCCAAGTAGCCAGATGTGGTATTACACCACACATTGGCATTACAGCTCTTGGGACTTGAAGGCAGGCAGAGCAGAAGTTCTAGATAAATACTCATGTAAAATAGCAGTCTGGACTGCATGTGACTGTTCCCCCACCCCCAGATTTTTTAAATCTATATTATGCGCAGAGAATAGGGACTGGAGAGATGATGGCTCATTGGTTAGACAGCTCACTGTTGTATCCTAAGCACGAGATCCCAGCGCCCACATCAGGTGGCTCACAAACACTAACTCCAGGAAAAAGGAATTTGAAACCCTCTGCCTCCCAAGTGCTAGGATTAAAGGCAAACAGACACATGGACACATACACACACACACAATTTATGTCAGTATTTTCCAGATTCATTATTTTTGCTGTATTTTATTACAATTCATCATATTTGTTTAACTTATTTATTGCTGGTGGTGGTGGCACACACCTTTAATCCCAGCACTCAGTAAGCAGAGGCAGGTGGATCTCTGTGAGTTCGAGACCAGCCTGGTCTACAGAGCAAGTTCCAGGACAGCCTCCAAAAGGATACAGAGAAACCCTGACTCGAAAAACAAAATACAAAAAAAAAAAAAAACCATGTACTTTGTATTCATATGCAATAGTTTCAGCTATGCAACATTTTTTTCAAGGTTTATTTATTATGTGTACAGTGTTCTGTCTGCATGTATGCCTGCTGGCCAGAAGAGGGCACCAGATCTCATTACAGAGGGTTGTGAGCCACCATATGGTTGCTGGGAATTGAACTCAGGACCTCTGGAAGAGCAGCCCGTGCTCTTAACCTCTGAGCCATCTCTCCAGCCCCAGCAACTTTTTTTAATTCAGTGAGAACTCCCATTTCTTTTCTTTCTTTCTTTTTTTTCTTTCCCAAGGCAAGGTGTGGTGATATTTATAACTTAATAAAGATTGCCTGAAGTATCAGAATGCAAAGCCAGGCACACTAGTTAGCCATAGAAGCCAGGCAGTGGTGGTATACACCTTTAATCCCAGGACTTAGGAGACAGAGGTAGGTGGGTCTCTGTAAGTTAAGGAGGCTACATTGAACTACATGAAATTGATCCATTCTAAAAGAGATACAGCTTATACAAAGTTCTCAGCCCTTGGGATCCCACATTAATCCCAGGATTTGAGAGTTATAAAGGGAAGAAGCAAAGGGTGGCATGTAGCAATTAGTCTCCAGCCATGCTGAAGACAGCATAGCAGTCTGGGCTTGCATTCTGAGGCTTGGTGGAAATGGCATCTCACATTTCGGTCTGAGGTAGAAGTAAGAGCTACTGGCTTGGCTGCTTTGCTTATCTGACTGACATCTTGAACCCCAATATCTGGGTTTTTATTATTTGTGTTACAACAGGGTTTCTCTGTAGGTTGGAGTCTGTCCTGGAACTCGCTCTGGTTTTCTTACTGTGTGGTGCCCCTTGATTCCACCTACCCGACCCCCTCCTGCCATTATAGAAGCTGACTTCCCAACAGAGGCTTGACTGCTGTCCCTGGGAATATTCCCCAGTCAGATTTTTCTGTGTGTTCCCTTGTTTGTATCACTTTTATCTTATCCCACTTTATTTTGTGTTTCTTGCAAATTGTAATTATAAAAGCAGCAGTGGGGGCTGGGAATGGAACTCACATGGCATCTGCTTGCCTAACTAGTATATGCAACTCTGGGTTTGATGCCCAGCACACGTGAACTGGACTTGGTAATACAGACCTGTAATCCTAGCACCCTAGAGGTGGAGTCAAGAAGATAAGAAGTCCAAGGTCATCTTTAACTATACAGTAAATTTCAGGCTACTTTGGGTTGTATGAAGCTCCTTTTTAAAAAAGAAAGGGGAGCTGGGCGGTGGTGGTGCATGCCTTTAGTCCCAGTACTGAGGAGGCTAGTTCCAGGACAGCCTCCAAAGCCACAAAGAAACCGTCTCAAACCACCACCCCCCAAAATAAAATAAAATAAAATAAAAAAACAAAGGGGAAGGTGGGTGGAGCTGTCTGAGTTAACCTTTGGGGCAAGAGTACTTGACAGCTGGGCAGTGTGCCTCATGCATGCTTTAGATATAGTCTGTGTTTGTGTATGCGTAAATGTACACAGTCTCTAAGGCATTGGTCCTGAATCTGTTCCCAGGTCCCTCCTTCCTAACTGTCTTTGCTGTGTCTTTTACAGCCTCATCGAGTTGTCATAACTTGCACTGAAGACTTACCTCGCTGTGCTATCCCATCTCGCCTGGGGCTGCCCCTCCTCTCTCCTGAGTTCCTCCTGACTGGAGTGCTGAAGCAGGAAGCCACACCAGAGGCCTTTGTCCTTTCCAATTAGGAAATGTTCTCTACCTAAAAAAAAAAAAAATCTACCTCTATCCTCTCAGACCAGCAAACACTCCTAGAAAACATTTGAAAAAAGGAACACACACAATTAAGACTGCACAAGGTGGTCCACACCTTTAATCTCAGCACTTGGAAGGCAGAAGTAGGCAGATTTTTGTGAGTTCCAGGCCAGCCAGGGCTACTACATAGTGAAATTCTGTCTCAAAAACCAAAATAAAAAAACAAAACCCCTGAAGACCTAAGATTGTTTTGAACAACTGCTTTGGGAATGTGTATAAGACCAAAGAGTTTTTGAAAAAGGAAAATGATTTTTCCCCCTAAGATGCCCATTTCTGAACTGGCCAACCCAAGCTGGGGTGCAGTGCTGTCAGAGCACTTGCCGTCAGTGGTGAAGGCCTGGTTCAGCCTGCACCCTGCTGTCTTGGCCCCTTTTCCGTGTCTTCCCAGGATCCTTACCAGTCCCAGGCGTACCTGACTGAGAAGATGAGGGTGCCTCACAAGATATGTTTTCTGGTTTGTGACTCTCCAGGCTTTTAGTTTTGCTGCACATGGCCTACTTTTCCAGTGTTTGCTGTTAGCTTTGGTCATCTCTGTGGTAGGTCAGTGCTCACTTAGCCTGCCTGATGGTGAATTTCTAATATGAAGTAAGACAGTTTTGAACTTGCACTCAATTATCAGTATCAATTTAGAGTAAATCACATTTATTTTTAAAAGCTGGTCACTTTCCAGGATGTGGAGAAAGCAGGACTCTTGGGTATTTCTGGTGTTTAGTTAGGCCCCTGCAGTCAACCATTTGAAAGTTCCTTTGGAGTTGAGTGAAAAGCTGGTCCTGGGCATTTCCAGTAGTCCCTGTATGTAGAGGCTGAAGCAGGATGGCCACAAGCTCCAGTTCAGTCTGGGCTACTGAATAAAACCCTGTCTTAACAGAAAAAGGGTTTTGTTTGTTTGTTTTGTGTTAGCTTGCATCAGCTCTATGGTAGGTAAGCACTCATCTGGTCGGCCTGATTACCATATGACTCAGCAATCTGGCTCTGCCCCCTGTGCTTGGCCTCTGATTCCAGCAGTACAGGTAGGGGCAAGTAGGATCAGAAGTTCAAGGTCAGCTTTGACTACATAGCAAATTGGAGGCCAGCCTAAAGCTATTAGAGACTCAAAAATGAAAAACAGGCACTTGATAAGTGGTTTGTTTTTTTTTGGGGGGGGTCTCTATGGTTGCTAGGCAATCACTTTGCCACTAAGCCTCATTCCCAGCCCCTTATTACTTTTCAAGATAGCCATATATACAAGTACTGTAGACGGCTGGGCAGTGATGGCGCACAACTTTAATCCCAGCACTTGGGAGGCAGAGCAGGTGGAACTCTGAGTTAGAGGCCAGCCTGGTCTACAGAGTGAGTTCCAGGACAGCCAGGATACACAGAGAAACTCTGTCTCAAAATGCCAAACAGAAACTGTACATTTGTTCAGCAAGGGTGAGCATATAAATGTGCTGTGTGCACAAAAAGGAATGCTCAGACATGAAGTATTTGAGGGTGAGTGTCAAGAAGACCCTAAGTAAAAGGCCTAGACACAAAGGACACATTTGATTCCATCTGCATGATAAATCCAGAATGGGTGAATTCACAAAGATAAGAACAGATCAGTGCGTCCCAGACTCTTGAGGACAGGGGAGCTGCTCAGGGAGTCTACTAGCATTTCATTGTGAGGAGTATTGGAGCCAGAAAGAAAGAGGTTGTACATAATGCAGAATATTAATGCTACTGTACTGTCTCTTTCTATGTGAATTTCGCTTCAATAAAAATATAGTTGCTTGCTTTGTATGTTTTTCTGCAATGAACTATGTATATAAGCTTCCAGAACTATTCTGGGTACATATAGCCTACTTCCTCTGCAGCTGGTCGGCATCAAAGTTGGCCTGCTCAAACTAGGCACCTGCTTTACAACTCATTCACACCGATGCTATATGCTGTGTCTGTTTTTTCCTTTTGGGAGTGCTGGGGATTCAGCAATGCTACTGAAATAAATGCTTACATTAAACAGTAGTCTCAGACCTCTGTTAATTTGGTGCCGCATGAGCCAGAAGTCAGCCTTGGGTGTCTTTCCTCAGGAGTCCACTTCCTTTTCTTTGAGACAGGGTATCTCACTGGGACATGAGACTCCCTGATTAGGCTAGACTGGTTGGCCAATGAGCCCTAGGCATCTGCCTCACTAGGGCTTGGATTATGAATATATTTAAGGATGAAGCAGGGTAAAGAGAAATCACAAGGCTTAGTGCAACCCTTGTTTCCCACCTACAAGCTCTTCTGGGACCACTTCAGAGCCCCCTAAAACAGTGGAGCCAGACTGGTGCTACGCTGCAGTCCCAGCACTTGGAGGCAGAGGCAAGAGGATCAATTCAAGACTATTAGCTACATAGTAGCAAGCTCAACACCAGCTCGGGCTACATGAAGATTCTGCCATTTAAATAAAAATAAAGTGGAGGGAACAGTACGCAGAGAGAACTTACCCAAAGACACTGATATTCTCGGACACAGCCCACTCTGGAGGAAATGTGCTAGCAATGCATGGCATCTTGGTCCCGCGACAGCTCCCAGCCTGGGTGTTGCTATCGCTTAGCCTGAGGACCTTGCCTTTGCTAGTCTGGGGCGCTTTTATCTCCATGACCTTGTTCTATCTGTAAAACTCACGTCTTCTAAGGACCCTGTACTCGGACAGCTACGGACTGACCCTTTCACCACGTGACCTTTTTCATTTTTTATGGCCCTTTCGGACTGGGTCTCCTTGTGCAGTCGAAGCTAACTTCAATCTTCCAGCCTCGGCCATCAGAGTACTAGACTTACAGGCACGAACCATCAAGAGCCGCTCTAAAATGATCACCAAACAAAAATCTAGTAGGGAGACTGAGGCCGGAGGATAAGGAGTGGCTATTGTAAAAACAAAAACAAAAAACAACAAATAGGGCGTTCTTCGTGTTTGCACGCAAGGGAAGCTCTGTCTTCACTTTCCACGCGAACACTGGCCGCACTAGGATTCGACCCACGCGGGTGGCCGCGGAGCCGCTGCCCTGACGACGCGGGAGTTCCAGGCTCCGCACCGGGACGCGCGGCTCGCGGTCCCCGCCCAGCGGTCAGCACACCCACGGAGGCGGTACCTGGGCGGGGCTAGAAGCCGCGGGAACCCCGGGTCCACCTTCTCCGCAAGCTGCTTAGCGCTCGCCATGGCCCCGGCGCTGCTGCTGGTCCCGGCGGCCCTCGCCTCCTTCATCCTGGCCTTTGGCACCGGAGTGGAGTTCGTGCGCTTCACCTCCCTGCGGCCGCTGCTTGGAGGGATCTCGGAGTCTGGCGGTCCGGGTGAGCTGCCGAGATCCAGGGCGAGCTGAAGCGGAGAGGAGGAGCCAGAGCAGCGTGGAGAGGGCGGGGCGCGGAAACAAATGACAGGGAAACGCCAAAACTGAGAGGCGCCACAGGGCAGGGAACAGAAGGCTAAATCAGAAACTCCAAGATTAGTCCTGTGCCGAAGCCGGGGAGTGAGGGCTGACAGAGTATGCGGGGGTGGGGGTTAGCCTTTCGTGGGGACAACTAGGGACAGGGGAAAGGTAAAAAGAGGAAACATTAGGAAACCGCGACAGCCGGCCGTAGTGGCGCACGCCTTTGATCCTAGCAGAGACAAGCAGATCTCTGAGTTCAAGGCCCGCCTGGTCTGCTGAGTAAGGGCTATTTGTAGGTAGAGAGACCCTGTCTCAAAAAAAAAAAAAAAAAAAAAAGAGCCACACCGAAGATGACTTCCCCAGCCTTAACTGTGTGTGTGAATACGTACGGACTGTGTGCTTGTTTGTCTCTGTGTGTGCAGGCGCAGCTGAAGGCCAGCCCTGAGTGTCTGTCTTCAGGAGCTAGCCCCATTTTTGCTCTTAGACAGGTACTTTGCTATGTACCCCAGCTGACTGAGAACTCACGGGTCCACCTACCTCTGCCTCCCAAGTAGTATGGGGACAGAGTCTGTCGTTGGAACCTGAGGCTTACCGACTAGGTCAGACGGACCTCCTAAACTTGGCTTATGGATGGCTGTGAGCTGCCACGCGGATGCTAAGAACCAAACTGGGTCATCTGGAAGAGCAGCCAGTGCTCTTAACCGCCAAGCCGTGGCACCAGCCCCTCTGGGGATTCTCCTGCCTCTGCCTCCCCAGCACTGAGATTACCACCACACACCACCATGCTGGGCTTTTTGTAGGGGTCCTGGGGATCGAATTCAGGTAGGTCCTCATGCACTACTGGACACAGCCACCTTCCCAGCCCTCCCACTGTGGCTTTAATAACATAAAGGCCCTGCCTGCATTCTCCTGGGAGCCTTCTTCCCCAGGAGGAGGGCAGGGAAAATGGAGGGAACAGGAATTGAACTGGGTATGGCCTTGACAAGGTCTTGAAAGCATCAGGGACACGGCATAGGGCTCCAAAAGAAGATGAGGCCGGGTGTTGGTGGCACACGCCTTTAATCCCAGCACTTGGGAGGCAGAGGCAGGCGGATCTCTGTGAGTTCGAGGCCAGCCTGGTCTACAGAGGGAGTTCCAGGACAGCCTCCAAAAACGATACAGAGAAACCCTGTCTCGAAAAAACCAAACAAACAAACAAACAAACAAAAGAAGATGAGGTTAAGGGAAATGTTCTAGTCACCTCAACTGTCCCTTTCTTCCTCCCCCCACCGCACCCCCAGAGACCCGCCATGGGTGGCTGGCTGCCTTGCAGGACCGAAGCATTCTGACCTCCCTGGCCTGGGATCTTGGGCTTCTGCTATTGTTTGTGGTACAACACAGCCTCATGGCAACTGAGACAGTGAAGGCGTGGACATCCCGGTACTTTGGAGTCCTTCAGAGGTCACTGTATGTGGCATGCACTGCCCTGGCCTTGCAGGTAAGAGGCCTTGACCAAGGGAGACATAATGCATGGTGGAGGGATAGGCTGCGTGTGTAAGAAAACGGGGGATGCTAATCTCAGCTCCCATTCTTCCAGAGCGTATACTCCATTCTGTCAGCAAAGGTCTGTTCTTTTGACATTCCCCAGCACAATATGAGTCAGTGTTCCTCTGTGTAGCCCTGTCTGTCTGTCCTGGAACTGGGATCAGTAGGCCAGGCTGGCCTTGAACCCAGAGATCCACCTGCTTCGGCCTCTGCCCCTGCCTCCTGAGCGCTGGGACTAAAGGTGTGCGCCACCACTGCCCGGCTTGCTCGAGCCTCTTAATTTCTCCTTTGTTCCTGTCCTGTCTCGAGAGGAGATGTCTTCTGCTTAGGCTTCTCCCATAGGCTAGTCTGGTGGGTAGCCACCAGCGCCCCCGTCCCATCCATTCTGTAAATCCAGTGTAGAAATGGGTCATCTTCTTATCCTCGGTACCCCATCCAGAACCTTCCACGTGGTAAATACTTACTGTTTGTATACCTGGGGGGAAGGAGTTGTAGGTTACTGTGGGGCAAGGGAGAGCACTGGATGCCTGGTGTCTCGTCTTTCCCCCAGCTGGTAATGCGGTACTGGGAGACTGTACCCAGAGGCCCGGTGTTGTGGGAGGCTCGGGCTGAGCCGTGGGCCACCTGGGTGCCCCTCCTCTGCTTCGTGCTCCACGTTGTTTCCTGGCTCCTGATCTTCAGCATCCTTCTGGTGTTCGACTACGCCGAACTCATGGGCCTCAAGCAGGTGCGAAGCATCCACATCCCTGCCCGGGACCCATGTCCACAATTCTCCCCCTCCCAAACCCTCCCGACTCCTCTGGGCTTTCTGGTCCTTTCATCGTCGTCCGTCTTCTTTCAGCTTGCCTTCAAAGGCCAGTAACTATAGGTCTTTGGGCTTTAGCACGCCGCCTGGACCAGAGACAGGTTGGGGTAGAGTTTCAGAAAGAATCCTTCCGCCGGGCGTTGCTGGTGCATGCCTTTAGTCCCAGCACTTGGGAGGCAGAGGCAGGTGGATCTCTTGTGAGTTCGAGGCCAGCCTGGTCTACAGAGGGAGTTCCAGGACAGCCTCCAAAACAATACAGAGAAACCTTGTCTTGAAAAAACAAAACAAACAAACAAAAAAACAAACAAACAAACAAAAGAAGATGAGGTTAAGGGAAATGTTCTAGTCACCTCAACTGTCCCTTTCTTCCTCCCCCCACCGCACCCCCAGAGACCCGCCATGGGTGGCTGGCTGCCTTGCAGGACCGAAGCATTCTGACCTCCCTGGCCTGGGATCTTGGGCTTCTGCTATTGTTTGTGGTACAACACAGCCTCATGAACTGGGTATGGCCTTGACAAGGTCTTGAAAGCATCAGGGACACGGCATAGGGCTCCAAAAGAAGATGAGGCCGGGTGTTGGTGGCACACGCCTTTAATCCCAGCACTTGGGAGGCAGAGGCAGAGCCTGATTTCTTACATGGTGGTACCAGGACAGAATCAGCTGAGAAAGAGAGTTTCATTTCCATGCTGTAATCTCTCTCCTAGGTATATTACCACGTCCTGGGGCTGGGTGAACCTCTGGCCCTGAAGTCTCCTCGGGCTCTGAGGCTCTTTTCCCACCTCCGACACCCAGTGTGCGTGGAACTTCTGACAGTGCTATGGGTGGTCCCCACGCTGGGCACGGACCGCCTTCTCCTGGCTCTTCTCCTCACCCTCTACCTTGGCTTGGCTCATGGGCTCGACCAGCAAGATCTCCGTTACCTCCGGTCTCAGTTACAAAGAAAGCTCCAGCTCCTCTCCAGACCCCAGGATGGGGAAGCAGAGTGAGGAGCTGGCGGGTCCGCTGTCCCAAGGCCTATACTTCCTCAAAATGAAAGCCCCTTAATCCAGGCCCTGTTGTTTTGCTTCAGACCAGAGGCTGGAAACCATGTGCTGAAGGGACCATCCCCTCCCCTGTTTGAGACCTCAGGTCCAGACACCCGGTCCCCTACTCTAAACTTAGAGCTTCAGCCACTTCTCACCAACCAAGAGCGGATACATTATTCATGAATGGAATCTCATCTCATCTCTTGGGGTCTCACACACACACACACACACACACACACACACACACACACACACACACACACACGCTAAGGGTTCTGCTTTGAGCACTCACTCCCCCGGCCCTGTTACTGGCTCTGCACCTCAGGGATTCCCCTTCCTAGCTCCCACTTCAAGGAGCTATGTCAGGGCCAGTCTGCAAGTTTTGCAGGTAGTGGCTATCGCCTTTGCACCGCGGCTGTGCGTTTCCCCTACCCCTGCCTTACAGCTCCATGGTGTCACCCGGTTGTTTTTTTTTTTAACTCGGTCTCTTACAGCGATGTCTCTCGTTTTATTTTATTTTTATTTTTTTTTAATTCGGGATGACTCAGGGCTCTCTGCTCTCCCAAAGGGTATGCGCTGTAAAAAAATTAAAAATTTTTTCTACATATGGTGTCGTTTGTCCGTCCATGTCTCTCAAGCCGCAGGACCAAGTGTGGGAAAGAAGCCGAGGCCAAGCAAGTTCTTGTGGGAGCAGCCGAGCCCTCTGACGCCCGCTGGGCTGGGGCCACACCCCAAGGGCCCGCCCCTATCTCCCAGTCACCCAGTCCAGCTCCCTCCAAATAGTACAGTTTCTCCGCCTATAGATCGGGGAACCCGTGGGAGACAGAGTAAATCTCTGGGAGGAGAGCGAACTCCCAGAGCCATTTGCCTCAGACTCTGGGGCCTGGCAGCCGCCCACACCACCACAGTAACAAAGACTGGCCAGGGAGAGCAAAAAAAAAAAAAAAAAAAAAAGCATGGGGAGGAGCGGCGAGTGATGGGAAGGGCGGGTCCGACTCCAAGCAGCTGCCGCTTCCTCCCCATGTCCCTTAGGGGGCTCTGAGTCACGGGCCGCCGCCCCGGGTCGGCCAGCTGGAGCAATAGGAATGGACACCCCGCTTCTCCAGGGCTGCGAGAGGAGGTGGGTGAGGGCCTCCGGAGACAGCACGAAGAGAAGAGCTGTGGACTGCCTGCCACACGGCAAGAGGGGAGTGCCACCACGGAGTCCCACGCGGGAAAGGAGGGCAGCGAAGCCCCGCCTTCGCCGGGCTCCGCCCTGCGCCCCCTTCCCTCGCCCCATTGTCCGTAGACAAAGCGGTCGCCGCCCCCGCCTGGCCCCCGTCTGAGTCCCCGTCCCTCCTCCCAGGCTCCCTCTTCCCTCCTCCTCCTCTGCGTCCCTCCCTCCCTCCCTGCCTCCCCTCCGGATCTCCCTTTGCCTCGGTTCTCCTCTTCCTCTCTCCCGACGCCTGGCTCCACCGCACCTCCTCCTAGGGACCCCCCAAGGCGTGTAAGTTGACTGTGGGGTTCCCACTTTAGGGGAAGTGGCTCCTAATTTCCCTTGGAGCGCCTCCCCTTTGTGCAGACACTGTCTGTTCCGTGCAGCTCCCGCTGGTGCCCGGCCCGCTGGGTCTAGGTCTCCTGAGAGCGGGGTCCCTGGTTGGGGACAGCAGAAGACAAGATGCGGGGTCCCTTCCGAGCGCGCGCCGGGGTCCCTGGTGGGGAGGCCGGCGGGGCTGAAGGGACTGGACGCCAGGGTTCTGGGAATGCGTAGGCAGCACCGCTCACTTGCTCGGGTACCAAAAGTCCCCCGAGGAGGGTATTTCCCCTGACCCGCCTCTGGGGCGGAGTGCGCTGTGGGGCAGGGGCCGGACCGAGGGGCGGGGCCGAGCGCAGCCGGGAAGGCAGCCGGGACCTGCGGGGCCCGAGCGAAGAGTTGCCCGCGCCCTTGCCCGCTTCCCATCTCCCCTTCTGCCCCGGACCTCTCTGTCCTCTGCATCTGTCCTCACCTCCCCTCCGGCCCCTTCGCCCCCCCTCGCCGGCTGGTCCCGGTTCTTCCTTCCCACTTACCTCCCCTGGGTACCGGGGAGGCAGCCTCGACTGGACGCGCTCTCGTCTCAGCCCCCCGTTCTCCCCCATCCCCCGCCGCCGGTCTTCTCGCTCGCTCCTGCTTTTCCTTCCCTCCCTTTCTCATATCTCACGGACCATCTCGTGCCCACAAACCCCAATCTGGCGCTGCCTCTCGGCCCGGAATCTCGGCTCTTCCTCCTCTCCCAGTATATCCCCACCCCCAACTTGGCACCCAGCTTTTTCTCTCCACTTTTCCAGTGCTTGCCTCTTCTGCCCTCCCCCCCTCCTCTCCCGGTTTCCCCTCTACCTTCATCCTCTCCGTTCCACGGCCCTCTGTTCTTAAAGTCTCTTCCCGCATCGCTTCCTCCTCCTCCACCCCCATCCTCAGTCCCCGGGCCCCTCCGAAGCCTACCCTTCCTGTTCCTGTCCTCCAGCTGCTCTGCTTCCTTCACTTCCAGTGACCATGACCGCTATCCCAGATTGGAAGCTACAGTTGCTAGCCCGGCGGAGGCAGGAGGAGGCAGCGGTTCGTGGCCGTGAGAAAGCAGAACGGGATCGCCTGTCCCAGATGCCAGCCTGGAAGCGGGGGATTCTGGAACGACGCAGAGCCAAGTTGGGCCTGCCTCCTGGAGAGGCGAGCTCTGTGCCTGGGACTGCAGAGGCTGGACCTCCAGACCCAGATGAGTCCGCTGTCCTCTTGGAGGCTATTGGGCCAGTACATCAGAACCGATTCATCCAACAGGAGCGGCAGCGGCAGCAGCAGCAGCGAAATGAAGTCCTTGCTGATAGGAAACCGGGGCCTCTGGAGGCTGGAGAGCGGAGATCAAGTCCTGGTAATTTAAGAGAACAGAGCCCCAAGGGGAGAGACTCAAGAGAAGAGAGGCTAAGTCCCAGGGAGGCCAGAGATAGGAGGCTGGTGATAGGGGGAGCCCAAGAGTCGTGTTCCAGGACTTTGGAGACTCGAGACTGGAGGCAGAGCCCTGCAGAGCCCAGAGACCTGAGTTCCAGACCAGCAGAGGCGCAGAAATGGAGGCTGAGCCCTGGAGAAACTCCAGAGGAGAGTCTGAGGTTGGCAAGCCCTGGAGACCACAGTCCCAAGAGAAAAGAGGTATCGGAGAGCAGACTGAGCCCTGGGGAGTCCAGTGACCAGAAGGCCTGCCTGACAGAGGCCCATAAATGGAATCTTGACCCGAAAGAACCCCAGAAACAGAGCTTCATACAGCTGGAGGCCACAGAGTGGAGGCTGAATTCAAGGGAAGAGAGAAAAGACTACCTGGAGGAGTGTGGGAGAAAGGAAGAGTCGCTGAGGCCGGGGACTGCCCTAGATCAGTCTCCAGTGACAAAGGAGGCTCACGACACCCCCTCTGGAGAAGCGGAGACTTCTGAGCAGAGGTCCAGCCCTGCGGAGGATGGAGACAGGGTCTCCAGGCCCACTGAAGGCTGGAAATGGACCCTAAACTCTGGGAAGGCTCGAGAACGGACGCCTAGGGACATAGAGACTCCTCAGGAGCCAGAGCCTCCAACATCTCCAGAGAAGCACCTGGGGCCGTCTGGCGCGGAGGAGGCGGGGGCTCAGAGCAGGCCTCTCAGAGCCCAGCAGAACCTCTGCGCTGGGCCCTCCTCCCTCCCACCGGAGCACGCAGGGCCCGGGACGGAAGGCCCGAGACAACAGGAAGAGGAAGCTGCAGAAACGCGGCCCCCAACACCAGCCCCTCTGTCTCCCCCACCCCCAGCCCCAGCTGCCCCCCAGCCCCCCGGGGATCCCCTCATGAGCCGTCTATTCTATGGGGTGAAGGCAGGGCCGGGGGTGGGGGCCCCCCGCCGCAGCGGACACACCTTCACTGTCAACCCACGGAGGTGTGTGCCCCCTGCCAGCCCGGCCCCTCCGGCGGCCACCCCTGCCTCAGCTGATGCTGCAGGGCCTGGTCCTGGGAAGAAGCGGTACCCAACTGCTGAGGAAATCTTGGTGCTGGGGGGCTACCTCCGTCTCAGCCGCAGCTGCCTTGCCAAGGGGTCCCCGGAAAGACATCACAAGCAGGTAAGAAAGCTGGCAACGCTTGACGGGGTAGAGACGCCTCCTTCCAGCTCTGGCTGACGGTTTTTTATTTTTTAATGCCTGTGCTCTAGTCTTTTTTTTTTTATTTCTCCCACCTCCCTTCTTCCTTCTGCACGCGCGCGCGCACACACAGACACACGCACACGCGCGCACACACAGACACACAGACACAGACACAGACACACACACACACACACACACACACACACACACACACACCCACCCTCCTACCCTCCTTTGCCATTCATTTGGGAGCACCAAGGACTCTGCACCGGAGTCAACTGCTGAGTTGGGGTGTGTCGGTCTCCAGGGTGTGTCCGGCCCTGATCCTTCTTCTCTCAGTCCCTCTCCTTTTTGGTTTTTGTTTGTTTTGTTTTTTGCTTTTGAAGTTTAGATCCAGCTCAGCCCTTCTGGTAGGAGATGAGCGATAACCACCTTGCAGCCGTGAAGGCAGGGTGAAAATAACGGGGGGGGCATTGGAAGTGGAGGCAAGAAGTTCAGGGAAGTTGGAATGAGGGGTCTCAGCCCCAAGAGAGAAGGGGCAGGACTAAACGAGGACGTCCCGGGACGGAGAGAGGCCGGAGAGAGGGAACAGAGCTGGCTGAGGAGCTGAGAGAAAGCTTTTAGACCCCAAGTCAGCTCTCCCGCCCTCCCCCCTCAGGAGAGGCTGACAGACGCCATCTGAAGCGGGTGACCTCGGGGTCTGTCCGTCTCCCCCCCCCCCCCAACTGGGCCGTTGTCAGACAGCGCTTCCTTCTCTCTGGGGACAAGAAAAGCCTTCTCTTCCAAAACATCCCAGTCCCTTCCCCCACCTTTCCTCCCTGGGCTTCCCCTCCCCCACAGAACTGGCTCAGCCTTGGTTTTCCCCTCTGTCCCTCCTACCCTGGCCTCTCCCTCCCCTTGGGGTAGAAAAAGAGAGAAGTTCATTTGCACTGAACTGAGCTGAGACTGGCCCAGGCACTGTGGGAGTTGGGGGCAGGGGTGGGGCTGAGGCCAGGAGAGGGTCAGAGGTTAGACTGGAATGTAGACCAGCGAGGAATCACTGGACAGGATAACTTCTCCCTCTGGCCCTGGCCCAACACCTTCCTCCTATGCACCAGTGCAAAATCTCGGGGGCGCACGCCTTTAATCCCAGCACTCGGGAGGCAGAGGCAGGCGGATCTCTGTGAGTTTGAGGCCAGCCTGGTCTACAGAGCGAGTTCCAGGACAGCCTCCAAAGCAATACAGAGAATCCCTGTCTCGAAAAAACAAAAAACAAAAAAAACAAAAACAAGAAGTCCTCCCCCCAGCAGGCATCTTCCCAGGGTCTGGGAAGCCTGCTCCTTCTTATTCTACTTAACCATGCGCGTTGGTGTCAGTGGGAGACCGTGAAGGCCAAAGATGGGGTCGCATGACCCCCCTCCCAGTCCAACCTCATGTTGTCTTTATTAGTTCATGGGGCACAGAGTGTTCATTTTCATCGTAGCATGTTTTTGAATATGACTTTTGTTCCCGCACCTCGGTCCCAGCTTCGCTGAGGCTGGGGGGGGGGGTACCTGAGAGTAGTGTTTGTACCCTGCGGCCCCCCCCCCCCCCGCCTGCTCTCAGGCCTTGGCAGATGTAAAGGAAGTTCTCCCAGGGAGAGGCGCTTGGAGAAAAGCCGCTTCCTCCTGAGGCTGGCCGGTGTGTCTCTGGGAAGTGAGCAGAGGGTTGCACGGGGCTCTGTGACCCGAGCCTAGGAACCATCCGGGGGAAGCCAAGGATCCCAGTGCAGACTGGGGGGTGGGGGGCTGTGATGGTGACCGTACCTACCTAGGTCAGCAAGTAGGGGCGGAAGCAGAGCCTCCCAAACAGGAAGCCTGGGGTGGGGGCCCGGAAGGCTGGTGGGTACTGAGTGGGAACACTGGGCCTGGGGGCCTGCCAGAGCTGTGCTCAGGATGTGGTGAGAGAAATCAGGAAGCAGCCACATTGGGGTGGGTGGCGGGGGAGGAGGCAGCAGAGTTCCCTAGACATGACCGTCTACCCCCCACCCCCGGCCCTCGCTAAAGTCTACACCCGGACCTCCCCTCCCTCTGTACAGCCTCAGCAAGGATGACTGTGCCCCGCCCTGCTCTGTCCCACCCATTGCCGCCGTCCCTCGCCCTTTCCAACGTAGTTCCTCCTCTGGCAGCTTCATCAGACTTAGCCCTGCCATCATCATGAGAGAGACACCTCCCCTGCCCCGAACCAGGCTGTCCGCTGAGCTGGTGCTCTTCCGCCGGCGGGCGGGCGGGCGAGCTGTCTGACTGGGGTCCCGCCCCCTCCTTCCCTGGCCCCCTTGTGACCTTATATAGCTGATGAGAGAGGAGCCAGTGAGTCACTTCCCTCCCTGCCCTACCCCCCACCCCCATTCGGGTTATGCATTCCAGAGGAGCCCAGTCAGAAGCTGGGGGGAAGTGAGGCCCAAGGGGTGACCCAGAAGTAGATGCTGAAGATGGTGTTGAATACAATGAATCTCTTTAGAGAACTCATGATGAAAACTACAGGGCTTGGGGGGGGGTCTGGACCGAGGAGAGGGGGGAGAGAACGGGCTTCTAGAAATTTGCATAAAGCTGTCAACCGCAGAACCACTATGGGGTCCCTCTCCAGGTTCTGGGATGTGGCCCATCTGGAGGGTATCCTTCTATTGTGTCAGCCTTCCCTGGTAGCCTTGACCCTCTGCTGGGAATCTCCCTTCACCCGATGCCTGTAGACGGGTGTGGCCGCGTGGCAACTTGTAAAGTCCCTTTCGGGGCAACCGTGCATGTGAGTAGCCCATACACTCAGCCCTCTTCTGCACACACCGTCTCCGCCGAGCACAGACTCAGGTTCTTCCAGGCTAGTGGCTCAGGCTTGTAATCCCATCTATGGATGTTGAGCTCAAGGCCAGCCTGGGCTATTTAGTGAGCCCCCGTCTCAGTGATGACAAGAGGGCGAGAGATGGTGCAGCCGTTAGGAGCACTTGCCCCAGCCGGGCGTCGGTGGCGCACGCCTTTAGTCCCAGCACTCGGGGAGGCAGAGGCAGGTGGATCTCTGTGAGTTCGAGGCCAGCCTGGTCTACAGAGCGAGTTCCAGGACAGCCTCCAAAACAATACAGAGAAACCCTGTCTCAAAAAAACAAAACAAAAAAGGAAGAGCACTTGCCCCGCTCTTGTGGAACCTGGATTCGGTTCCCAGCGCTTGCATGGTGGCTCTTAGTCCTCCGACCCAGTTTTCCAGGGGAATCTGATGCCCTCTTCTGGCCTTTTCTGGCACTGAACGCACATGGTACACAGCCGTGCAGGCAGGCAAAATGCTAAGCACGTAAAATGGGGGTCTGTGTAAGTCACATGTAGTACTGCACTATTCTGTCTGTCTGTCTGTCATCTGTGAGCACTTGAGCCCTTGGGCATTTTGTGTGAGGAGGTCTTACTGCAGACTCCCCCAAGATATTAGCAGGTGCTCTAGTGGGTTAGAAGGCGGTAAATGCTCCTTATGGGAGTATGAGTTACAAGGCTGTGTGTGTAATAGGGTCAGGACACAGAGTTGGGCACAAATGTGGCGGCTTCCAAACAGGATGCCCTGGAGTAGAGGAGCCTGGGGGACATTTGGGGGAAGAGTATCCCAGGCAGAGGGAACGCCTGCCTGGCGGCGGCAGTGCACCTGGGGAGAAGGAAAATCACCTGCTGCCTTCGGTTAGGCTCTTTGTTCCAAGTGAGGAACAAAATAAGAAGTCACTGCAGGGTTTAGACCCAAGGAGTGACACATACGGCCTTGGTCACCCTGCTTTCCTTAGGTACCAAGGCGTGACATCTCTCTCAGCCCCTTGCAGCCCACACTATAGCTCACACGGAGGCCCTGGGATGCTGGGCCACAGATACCCTGGGTAGGTCACCTGGAATCTCCTCCTGTGTGTCTCCCTAAACCCTCTGGCTTGCAGAGTAAACCCCACTTTGTCCTCCTTAGGAGGGCCAAGGGGGAGGGCAGAGGGAGGCGCCTGTGTTTCTAGGGGTTTCTGCCCATCTCTGGTCGTTTGCTTCTGTTTTTGTGAAGTACCTTAACCTCCGGGCCTCCTCTCCACCCCTACCCAGTGTTTGCCCTCAGAGTCCCAGTCATAGCCTAAGTATTGCCTCTATGCATTTCAGTTTCCTTTTTACACCTCTGCCTCATGGGTTTAAAGGGTAGAGATCTTTTGTTTTGTTTTTTGGGACAGGGTTTCTTTTTTGGGGGGGGTTTCAAGACAGGGTTTCTCTGAATTGTTTTGGAGGCTGCCCTGAAACTTGTTCTGTAGACCAGACTAGCCTCAGACTCACAGAGATCCACCTGCTTCTCTGGGATTAAAGGTGTGTGCCACCAACGCCCAGTCCCGGTCTTAATCATACTTACCAAATTCCCAGCCCTTGCCATAGACCAAATCTCTTGTTTTCTGGTGTGTGCACACACAGGAGGCCTTGCTTTTAAAGACAGGGTCTAACAATGTGGAGCAGCCTGGCCTAATACTGCTCTCCTGAGTGCTGGGGTTAAAGGAGTGTGCCTCCATACTCAGCTGACTTTTTGATTTGTATTTTTTGAGGCAGGGTTTCTCTGTATAACAATCTTGACACTCACTCTGTAGACCAGGCTGGCCTCAAACTCACAGAGATCCACCAGCCTCTGCTTCCTGAGTGCTGGGATTAAAGGTGTGAGCCACCATCCACCATTTTATTTTACTTAGACAGTTTTGATAGACATGGAAGGCTGGCCTGGAACTTAGTGTAATCCCTCTTGCCTCAACCCCTTGAGTGCTGAAATTACTGGTGTGCGGCACCACATCTGGTTGTTTGGGTTTTGTTGTTTGTTTTGGTTTTTCTAGACAGGGTTTCTCTGTGGCTTTGGAGGCTGTCCTGGAACTAACTCTTGTACACCAGGCTGGCCTCAAACTCACAGAGATCCACCTGCCTCTGCCTCCCGAGTGCTGGGATTAAAGGCGTGTGCCACCACTGCCTGGCTTGTTTATTTGTTTCTATAATTGTTTTTGTTGTTGTCTTGCATTAATTTTGGGGGTGGAGACACAGCTTGACGCAGCACCGAGTGGAGGTCAGAGTTTCCAAAGAGTAAACTCAGGGCATCAGGCCCGACTGCAAGTATGGTTACCCACTGAGGCATCTCAGTGGCCCAAATCTGGTTTGGGCTTGTTTAAGATTTGTTTCTTGCTGCCCAGGAGTGGTGCCGCAACCATGAGGCAGGGGCAGACGGATCTCTGAATTTGAGGCCAGTCCGGTCTACAGAAGATCGAGTCCCATGGCAGCCAGGGCTACACAGAGAAACCCTGTCTCGAAAAACGAAACAAACAAACAAAAATAAGCCGGGCTGATCTCTGTGAGTTCAAGGCCAGCCTGGTCTACTGAGTGAGTTCCAGGAGAGCCTCCAAAACAATACAGAGAAACCCTGCCTCGAAAAACCAAAAAAAAAAAAAAAAAAAAAAAACCAAAACAAAAATATTTATTGTACGAGTGTTTTGCCTGCCTGGGAGCCTGCAAGAGGGCCTACAATTACAGATGGTTGTGAGGGGCCTGGTGAGTGACAGGGAACTGAATCTAGGTCCTCTGCAGGAGCAGCAAATGCTCTTAACCTCTTAACCAGTCACTGAGCAAGCCCCTAAGCACATTTGATGTCATTTGAAGGGAAAAAAAAAATCAAGCTATAAAGGAAAGACAAATCCCCAACTGGATGGAGGGAGAGGTCGTCTTTGGGGCGCCTACGGCCAGCCCCACTCCATGCATCTGCTCTCCGGGCCCTCCCTGGGGTGCCTTAGTCATGAACTTGCCTTCTTCTCTCCTCTGTTGCTACTCTCAGCTCAAGATCTCCTTCAGTGAGACGGCCCTGGAGACCACCTACCAATACCCTTCGGAGAGCTCGGTACTGGAGGATCTGGGCCCGGAGCCTGAGGCCCCCAGTGCTCCCATCCCCTTGGCGACCCAGCCTGATGACGACGACGACGAGGAGGAGGAGGAGTTGCTACTGCAGCCCGGGCTCCAGGGAGGGCTGCGTACCAAGGCCCTAATCGTGGGTAAGCGGCGGCGGCGGCGCGGCTGGCTGGCGGAGGGCTCCCCCTGGTGTCATCCATAGAGTGTTGTTTCAAAGGGGCTCGGCCCAAACAGCTCCCGCACATCACAGCCTGCAGATTTCAAAACTAGAAACTTGCTCGTTCTCCAGATACCCAGTCTGGTTAAAAATACCCGAGATGGGTCAGACGGCCCGGAGTATGAATTCCAGCTTTACTGTTACTTATGGTGTGATCCCGGATCCGTGTGGGCTCGGTTTCAGTTCATCTTGTGTGGGGCGTGCTTGCCTACACTCTAGGATTCGAATCTAGGGCCTTTAGCACTCTAGGCCAGGGCTGTACCACTGCTCAGTATCCCTGGACTTCGTTTTATCATTCTTTTTTGTTTAGTTTCGAGACAGGGTTTCTCTGTGTAACCCTGGCTGTCCTGGAACTAACTCTGTGGACCAGGCTGCATTTTATCATTCTTTCAAATAGAGTTAATAGCTGTGTCCGGGGCTTCCGAGCGTGTAGCTCAGTGATAAGATTGCTGCTTAGACCTGAGCATGGGTGACTCCTGCCTGCAATCCCACCGCTTAAGCTGGGATAGAAGCTGTACATGGACAGCCTGGTCCACACAGTAAGCTAGTTCTAGGGCATCTTGGTTGAGACCCCGCCATCTGCGGCGAACGGAACAATGTGTGCCCTGCTTTAATCCCAGCCCCATGAAAATTTGATAACAATCACGCCTCCTGCCGCTGTTGAAAGACTCTTTTGTGAAAGAAGCCTTTGTGAAGCACCTAGGATGCTAGATGGTAAATTACTTGGCCTTTGATGAGATGATTACGAAATTAAACAAGGTGGCCCAGCGCACTATCCCAGCTAACTGATCACACTCCTGTTGCTGGCGACTGGTGCTCACCCAGCACATTGTAAAGACTTCCCTTATGCCAGACGCTCTTTGGGATACGTGGGGAGGCTAGGCTGGCGGCAGAAGCTCTCCTACCCCACCTCTCACCCCCTCACCTCTCGGTCTTAATCACTTCTTTCCCTACAGATGAGTCCTGCAGGCGGTGACCATCTTCCAATTTGGGCACATACCTCCTTCCCATACCTGAAGATCCTGGAGTCTGAAGATTCAGAGCCGACAGACCCTGGCAGTGAGCGTATTCCGACTTGCTTTTCCCATCCTGTTTCTGGGGCAGAGCCAGTAGCCTCAATTTACCCCTAACCCAAGCCCCCCGCCCCCATCCCTCACCCCCGTGGGTGTGGCCATGTGGGCTGGAGCATTCTTGGTGAGCTTAGAACGAGCATCAGTGGAACACGGGATGGAGCACCGCCAGCCCCGTGTCAGGGGTTACACTGTCCCCCCACAGCCTTCTTTGACTTCCTGCCACTCCCGGGGACACTCAGGATTTTAAGGGCTCATCTCTCCCTTGGGAGGCCTGGAACCCACTCCCAGCCCCTCTTCCTAGGTCACTGACCCCTTTGTTTACAGCTTCCTTGGCCTCGCTGGATCGCAGCCTGGTTTACAGACCCACCAGCTCCCAGTCCCTCCTCTCATTCAAGTCCCAGGTTTACAAGCTATGCCTACCCACGGGCTTCCCCGAGGAATCCGACACCCTCCCTTTGTCCTACTGAGAGTGACTGGGGGAGGTTATGTGGCTTTCCTTCGACTTTGCTCAGTATTACCGTGCCTCAGTTTCCCCAGCAATGAGAGAATTATTTAATTCTGTTCCTCCTCGTGGTTCACATTGAATTGAGTTGCAGTGTAGGGGGGGTGGGGGGGACTGACAGAGGTGACTCACCTCTCCCCTGCTGCTGCTTCATCGGCTGCCTGGTTCGTTTCATTTTGTACCTTTCCATAATAAAATGGAGCTCTTTTCAATGCTCTTGCCGCCCCTTTCTTTTTAAATTCCCCTCCGGTTTCATTTTGCCTGCTGCACGTGTGTCTATGCACCGCCTCGGTGCCTGGAGTCTGTGGAGGCCAGAGGGTATCAGACCTCCCGGAAGCATCTAGGGGGGGTGGGAATCAAATACATTCTCTCTAGAAAGTAACCAGTGCGCTTAACCATTGAGCCATCTCTCCAGCCCCTTCTCTTTTTTAAATTTTTTTTGAGAGTAGGTCCTGGCTAGATTGGAATTTACTGTGTAGACCAGGCTGGTCTGGAACTCACAGAGATTTTTCTGCCTCTGCTTCCTGAGTGCGGGAATTAAAAGTTTACACCACCACCCCCAGCTTAAAAAATTTTTAAAAAGGCCAGATGCCAGACGTTGGTGGCGCACGACTTTAATCCCAGCACTTGGGAGGCAGAGGCAGGTGGATCTCTGTGAGTTCCAGGCCAGCCTGGTCTACAGAGCAAGTTGCAGGACAGCTTCCAAAACAATACAGAGAAACCCTGTCTCGAAAAACCAAAAAAATAAAAAATAAATAAAAAAGTCTTTAAAAGAGACAGCATGGGGGCTGGAGAGATGGCCAGAGGTTAAGAGCACTGACTGCTCTCCCAGGAGTCCTGAGTTCAATTCCCAGCAACCACGTGGTGGCTCACAACCATCTGCAATCCAATCTGGTGCCCTCTTCTGGTGTGTAGGCAGAACACTGTATATGTAATAAATAAATAAATCTTTAAAAAAAAAAAAGAGACAGCATGGGGCTGGAGAGATGGTTCATCGGCTAGGAACACTTGTTCTTGCTGGGGCCCAGATTCAGCTCCCAGCACCCATATAGTGGCTCATAACCTTCCGTAAATCCAGTTCCAGGGAAGCAGACATTTTTCTGTCCTCCCAGCGCACCAGGCACACATACGGTACACAGACATGTGATCAAAACATTCACAAAATAAATCATACATACGTACATATATGTCTCCAGGTGTGGTGACACATTTAATTCCTGTCCTGGGGAAGCAGAGACATGCAGATCTCTTGAGTTTAAGGCCAGCCTGGTCTCTAGAATGAGTTCCAAGACAGCCAGGGCTACACAGAGAAATCCTGTCTCAAAAAACAAACAGGGCCAGGCGTTGGCGGCGCACGCCTTTAATCCCAGCACTCGGGGGGGCAGAGGCAGGCGGATCTCTGTGAGTTCCAGGCCAGCCTGGTCTACAGAGAGTTCCAGGACAGCCTCCAAACCTACAGAGAAACACTGTCTCAAAAAACCAAAATACATACATACATACATGTAAATATATATATGTGTATATATATATATATCAACATGAACACAACAATGGCAAACTTGGCACTACTACCAGAAAAGACAGAGCTTCCCCATGTTCTTTGGGATCTCCCTGGCTCAGGTGATTATTTGGCCTCAATTCCCCAAATAGGAACAACTTCAAGTACTTAGGTCCTGTCCAGTTAGGTTCGGGGACCTGACCAGTTGTAACTTGTGCTGTCTGTCGCCAACAGGAATACCAGTGCAGAGACAGAGTGTTTGAACTGTGGTTTATTCAAAAGCTTGTATCCGACAAAGCAGTGGATTAGCATCCTAGAAAGCTTACATTTTGCTCTCTCGAGCAGGCTTTAGGGAAAGTGGAAAAGGAAATAAGGACTACTAGTTATTCCAGAACTCAGTCCTGCCTCTCTGGTCACATGATCAGCCACATTTCTGAGACTAAGTCACATCTGTGCCTCTCTAGGACATGATCCAGAAACTCAGATATTGAGTTTGGGGTCTGGTATCCCCTGCTTCTCCTGGTCATCTGTGATAGGAAGGGCTTAACTCACAGCAAATCATCAACAGTAGGTATGTGCTAAGCTGTTAGTACCATCCATGTGAAGATTGCTCTTACCACATGGAATATTTTGACCTTATTCCTTTCCCCCCAACTCCCTGTCAATTTGAAATATTTAAATTGCACCCCCACTACCCCTGAGACAGGGTTTCTCTGTGTAGTCCTGGCTGACCTGGAACTCGCTCTGTAGACCAAGCTGGCCTCGAACTCACAGAGATCCGCCTGCCTCTGCCTCCCGAGTGCTGGGATTAAAGAAGTGTGCCGCCACAGCCACCACTGCCATCAGCCTTTCATTATTTTGATCGTATATAAATTACATATTTCAGTCAAGTGTGGCACATGTCTATAATCCCAACACTTAGGAAGTAGGATCAGGAGGGTTTAGAGTTCAAGGTTATCTTCAGCTACATAGTATATACAAGGCCCGCTAATGCTGTGTGAGACTCTGCCTCAAAACAATAAGAGGGGGTGGGGGCTGGCGGTGGCTGGAGAGATGGTTCCGCAGTGAAGAGCACTCATTGGTCTTTCGGAGGACCTGGTTTCAACTCCCAGCACAACGGGTCTCCTGTAAACTACTGCTTTAGGGCACCCAATGCCCTCTTCAGGCTTCTAGGTGCTGTACTCGAAAGTAAAACGTTTATTAGATACATAAACAAAACAAAACAAAAAACACAGAAGGAAGGGCAGAAGGGATGGTTCAGTAGTTAAGAGCGCTTGCTGCTCCCGCAGAGGACCTGGTTTTGGATCCCAGAACCCACATCAGGCAACTCAACAACCGTCTGTAACTCCAACTGTAGAGAGGTACCACATCCCTGATCTAAAGGATCTCACGCGCACACACACACGGTGCAGGTATGCAGGCAAGCTCACATGCACATAAATAAATAAAAAAAAAAACCTTGGGGAACCTTCATAAGACCGAACTAGACTCCCTTAAAATAGGTGACAATGAGCCGGGCCCACGCCTTTAATCCCAGCACTTGGGAGGCAGAGGCAGGCAGATCTCTGAGTTCAAGGCCAGCCTGGTCTACAGAGCGAGTTCCAGGACAGCCTCCAAAACAATACAGAGAAACCCTGTCTCGAAAAACCAAAAAAAAAAAATATATATATATATATACACACACACACACACACACACACACACACACACACACACACACATATATGTGACAATGGTGTGACTGGGATGATGTATGAGGTCACTGGCAGTGGGCCCAAGATCTAACTCTAATGCAGAAACTGACTTAGTGGAGCCCATTCTATATGGAGAGATGCTTTGCTCAGCCTAGACACGGGTGTGTGGGTGGAGAGGTGCCTTGGTCCTGCCTCAACCAGATAATGGGACAGACTTAGTAGACTTCCTAGGGGAGACCTTATTCTCATCGTGGAGCAAATGGGAGGAGGGGGGAGTGGAGGGAGTGGGAGGAAAGGAGGAAGGGGGAACTGGGTTGGAAAGCAAAAAATAAATTAATAAAAAAAAGAGAAAAATCTTAAGTTAATGGAACTCCCGCCCAACTTGCATATTTCTAGCAAATAGCTTTAAATTTTTAAAAATATTTTAAATTATGCGTTTGTGTGTGCACACTAGTCAGTAGAGGCCAGAGGTGTTGCATCCCCCTGGAGCTGGAGTTACAAGTCGTTGGTTGTGAGGAATGTGGGTGCCGGGGATCGAACTCGAGTTCTCCGAGCAGTCTATGCCTTGTTTCCTAACCCCGCTTTCTCTTCATTCTATCCCAAGCAATGGAAACCCTCTTTCTTGTGCACAGGGCTTGTGTCGACTGAGCGCAGGATCCCGTGCGCGGACCATCCCACGGGAGGCGACAGAGAGCTGAGCTTGCTCGGTGAGCGTCCGGAAAGAGGCTGCGCGACTTGGACCCTCCCAGCCACCGTTCAGCTCTGGCCGGAAGAGCTCAACTCTTTCCGGGTTTCGCGGGTCTGGAAGGCAGTTTAGGGCTACCCAGTTCAGCACTCTGGATCAGGGGGCTCTCTACGGCAGCCGGTGCGGGGCGGGCCGCCAGTGGCGCTGCAGACCTCTCCTGACCCCGCCGCTGGTCCGGGCTGGTTGGGCCGCTGCGCGTCGGGAGCGGGACGCGTCGCCATGGCGACGCCGGCGGGGCTGGAGCGCTGGGTGCAGGAGGAGCTGCACTCGGTGCTGGGGCTGAGCGAGCGGCACGTCGCGCAGTTCCTGATCGGCACGGCGCAGCGCTGCGCCTCGGCCGAGGAGTTTGTGCAGCGGCTGCGCGACACCGAAACTCTGGACCTGGGCGGGCCGGCGCGGGACTTCGCGCTGAGGCTCTGGAGCAAGGTGTGTGCCGCCGGGCCACGTTAGACCGCTCCGCGCACGCGCGCGCGCGCGCATCCTTTGCCTGGAGATGGAGAGTAAGCTAGCTGTCTGTTGGAGGAGAGCCTGGGAACTCTCAGTGTAGCACACAGGCTGGCTGCGAACTCTCAGAGAGAGACAGAGACAGACAGACAGACAGGCAGGCAGACAGACAGACAGACAGACAGACAGACAGACAGACAGACAGACAGAGCCTCCCATAGCAGAGGGACCTACTACTCCCGGCTCTGCCAAGCATCTATCTTTTGCCCTCTGTTACCTAGGTACAGCGCTGTGGAGGAGACTTAGGAGAGAGGGATCTGCGAACATGCCTTAAACCTAGGGCCCTGTTAGTAACAGTGCGTACAGCACAGCCCCTTCCTGGCTGAGGATGTGCATTATCTCAGTTGGTCTAGCATACAATAAGTTTTGGGTTCAGTCCCAAGTAAACGGGGGAGGGGGGAAAAGTCGCTCAGATGAGTCGAGCTGTGGGAATTAGCCGTTAGGAAATAGGATGGGGACCGGGAGAGAACCCTTATTGCTCTTCCGGAGGACTTAAGTTCCCAGCGTCCAGGTCTAGTGGCACACAACGACCTGTATGTGATATTACAGCTCCAAATGGGGATCTGATGCCTTCTTGTGATATTTTCCACGTACCCATACATGTAAATAAATAAAAAAAATAAAGAAAATGGGTCGTAGGATGTAAACTATTTGAACTCTTTAAAAAAAAATTCTATTGCGGGGCTGGAGAGATGGCCCAGAGATTAAGGTCACTGGCTGCTCCTCCAGAGGTCCTGAGTTCAATTCCCAGCACCTACATGGCATTTCACA